GCTGGGGGTGGAGGTGGTCTTGGTCTTTCAGCAGCAGAAGAAAAGTCAGTTCATTTATATCAGTGTTTAACCAGCAGCTCCAGTCAGGTTTGATCCATTAGAATAAGGTTTGACTCAGGAGCGCCTCGTGTGGTTGTTGGTTTTCCTCCAATCACAGCCCTCTTCCTCTAACCTCCAGGCTCACTGTTCCTTCTGCAGCCGTGGTTAGAATTCAGTAAATGTTTGTTATGGTGAAATGTTAAAATTAGTACAAGATATAAAAAAAAAAAAACTGTCCCAAAAACGACACAAAGGTGTTTTTTCACGCCTGTGTTCGTCTGACCTGCCACTGAAGAGTGTTTTCAGTTTTTCTGCTCCTTCTTCGCAGCGTCCTCAGACCGTGTGACCATTCTTTAGTGACTGTTCCTGCCACGGTTGCGTTCACATTTATTCATTTTTTTTTTTTTTTTTACTCTGAGTCAGCAGTTAAATTCACACATTACAGAGGACACGGCAGGTTAGCTTTTTATTTATTGATATTGTTTGATATATTTATAAGTCAGGGGCTCATGCATTATACATGGCGGTCTTACGGTCCGTATAAATCTTCAGAGAACGGGCCCGGCGGTGATGAAAGACGCTCAGAGCTGAGAACAGGAAGCTGCAGCTGAGATCTCACTGAAGCTGCGAGCTAACGCTAGGAGACACAAATCACAAACCCAACCGGCCGCGATAATAAAAATATGACGGCGTCTGTGGCTGGTTTGTTATTTAAATCCTGCTTATTGTTGAGTCAGAGCAGAGACGTCGTCCATCATCGCACGGCGACGTCACGCTGCGTTTGATGAATGGGATTCGACTGGACGTCAGGAGTCAAAGCCGTCAAATCAATGTTCAAAATCAATTATAATTCAGACAGATTTTCCATCAGACGACGGAGATGAATTTACAGGAAGTGGAGTCTGTAGCTAACAGAGTTCTGTTAATGGTTCCACAGAATCACAGACATGACCTTCAGGTAACCAGAGGTCAGCCCACGGACATGTGACCAAAACATGGCAGCAACCCGAGTCCAGGACTCTAGTGAATCTACAACAGTACTCTGCAGTATAATTTACAGTACATGTACTCAGTACATGTAAACATGTACTCCACAGAGAGAGCAGAATACACAGGAAAAAAAACATAACAAAATAATCTCAGATTTAGCCCAAATATAGAAATCAAATTCTCCAAATGATAAGTAATCATGAGCAGCAGCTGCAGTAAAGGGTTGCCAGGTTTGTTTGTTTTTTCCAGGAACTGCTGTTTCACGTGTTGTTCCTTCAATTCAAAATTAAAAGCCCGTGTTCTGGTGTCATAAATGGTTTTACTCATTAGTCCACAGTATCGTCGTGTGACGTTCTGCAGATGTGCAGTAGTGACGCTGACGTCCCGGTGGTCAGAAGAAGAACTGCTGACTCTGAAGGATTTCACTTTCATATCCCGCTCCTCTTCTCTGTCTTTGGGAACACGTGGGCCTCAGCGGGCCGCCCTGTGGGCTGAACCCAGCCTTCAGACCTTATGTTGTCCCCCTAATACTGCAGTATTTAGACAGCTGTGATGGAGGGAGTACTGCGTCAGACTGACATGACGTCTGATGTTGTCTCTCTGTTTCAGCGGTTCCTCAGCTCACTGTGTGAAGGGTTGCTTCTTGTTAAAGGGGGACTTTGATGTTCCAGCAGGGGTCACTGTTGTGCAGGCAGCTTGATGAGAGCTGGAGTCTCTCCTCAGAAGATCAATGAGTCTGAGTCCAACTCGATACTGTGTGTATGAACGTGTGTGTGTGTGTTTTATGAACAGGCTGAAAAATCAGAAGAAAGTAAAGTTTGTTGTTTTAAATTTGTCATTAAATGTTAACGACATTTAATGACAGAATAATACAGTAATACTGAAGAAGAACTGAGGTGTGTTCTCCAGAGGGTTCTCCTTCCAGGTGTGAAACAGTTCATTATCAGACCACTGGACTGTCCTGGTTCATGGCAGTCTGTGGAGGAGACCACCTCTGGATGAAGACGTCAAACATCTACTGATCTGCTCCGAGGAACGTCCACTGAAGGTTCTGCCATTTTGGTTTCTGCAGAATCAGGACAAAAATCTAAAATTCATTTGAACAAAATGTTAACTAGTAATGTTAACTAGTAATGTTAACTAGAAATGTTAACTAGAAATGTTCTGTTCTGTTGCTCCTGGGGCAATAACAGACATCAAATCCTGTCTGTGTACTTCTGTGTACTTCTGGAAAAGGTTGGAATGACAGTTCCCAGTTTTTCTGCTGCTCCTGGGGCAATAACAGACATCAAATCCTGTCTGTGTACTTCTGTGTACTTCTGTGTACTTCTCTGAAATTACCAGGAAATACCAGTTTCCACTATTTATTTTTTCTGCTATGAGTCAGAGGAGCAGCTCCTGGACATGTCCTCTGAGGACAGCTGTCCTCCTGGTTCTGCTGTGCTCTGTGATCAGAATACTGACTCAGCTGGCTCTCACGGCTGTGGCCTTGTCCAGGATGAAGCTGCAGCACCAGGCGCGAATGTCAATTCTTTATTTTTATTTTCTTTATTTATTTTTTCACTCTGACTTTTCTGTAGAATTTACATGTGGCAGCAGAGGAGGTGAAGCAGAGATCGACAGGAGAGGACTGAGGACCACCCTGGGTCTGGCTCTGTCTCTCCTGGCTCTGTTTGTCCTGGTCTGTCTGTCCTGGTCTGTCTGTCCTCTCCCAGCTGACTGTGACCTGTGGAGTTTTTAACTCTTTTATAAAAGAACTGAGAAAATTCATGTAAAAATTTAAACTAAACTTCACTGTTGCTCATGTTTCCATTTTTCCAAACTCGTTCTTTAATCCTCGGAGTGGATTTAGTCGATGTCTGGTCCACGTGGGATCTGATCTTGTTCACTGTAACCTGGACTGGAGATCCTGTCCAGGTTCTAGCCTCACCTGAGAACATTAAAGGTGATGGATGGATGGATGGATGGATGGATGATGGATGTCGTACGTTGTACCAGGCGTCAGGTCTTTTGAAGAACGCCGACTGTAGATATCAGAGAACCAGTTAACGTCCTGACGGAGAGTCTTTAAAGGGCCAGTTCATATTTAAGAGGCACTTTGACATTAAAAACTCGCCCCGCGTCTTCTTTTATTATTTAAGTGCAGCGAGGCTTCTGAAGGAACGCTGTTTGATCATTGGTCGTCGTGTTGTTGTGTTTCCCTTGGCAGAGTTTTGCTCCAACACAATGTCAGAGTCGTGGCATCAGTACTGCTGCTGCTGCTGCTGCCGTTGTATGTAGTGTTGCTGTTGATGCAGTTTGTGATGCCCCTGAAAGCCCACAGTGGCAGCAGAGGTTTAAAGAGTGCACTCAAAGGACCGTCTGATCAAAGGGACGTTTCATCTGTGAATGCTGCTGCTGCTGCTGCTGCTGCTGCATCGTGGAATGCCAGAGATGCTGTTAAAGTGAAATTGAGAGTGTGTGTGTGTGTGTGTGTGTGTCTGCAGAGGCTTCAGTCACAGCGCTGCAGAGACACAGAGAATAAACAGGACAACAATGAAATGTAACACATCCACAACAGTCTGAACTGAATCCATAACGAGGACGATCATAATTACACCACAACAAAAGAGGAGCAGAAAAAACCTGCTGGTCAGAGGTGGTAAATACACTCCAGCCTCAGAACAATGCACACCGCACAGTTTGAAACATCATTTGGGTTTTTGTATGAGGATAAAAAAACAAAAAAACTCCTGAATTTTCCTTTAGTTCAGGTCAGAATTCAGCATCAGTTCTGGGGAAACGCTGAAATTCTGAAAAACCCTGAAATTTAAATAAATCGTATTTATGTGATGTTTGTCTGTTCCACGTCAGAAGACGTTGGTTTAAATTAGTTTTTTGTTAAAAGTTAAAACGATAAAAAAAAAAATTCTATGACCCCCTGGTACTAAGTTTGTGGACCCCTAAGGGGACACGGCCCCCGTGTTGAAGACCCCTGACCTGAAGTGAGATGATTCATGTTGTTATTGGACTGGACTGAATGAAAGTGGGTGACAGACAGTGGCAGTGGCCCACGTTCAGAGTCTGACTCTGTTCTAACAAGACTGTGGGCAGGATTCCAACGTCTGGGCCACTTGATCTGATCTGTTCCTGAATAAACTGGACCAAAGTGCAGAGTCAACAGTGGAGTGAGTCCCTGACCAGTCTTTAATGGACCTGCCAAGACCCAAATAAAACCCAGAAGAGTGTGTGTGAAGAGACTTGAAGGCAGCAGTTCATCAACACTGCTGAGTCAGTGGGTCTGGCCCACAGGGACCGGACTGTGGGACTCAGAACTGGTCTGGTCCTGATTCACTTCCTGCATGAACACTACAGATTGGTTACTACAGAACTACCATCTACAAAATGTGGGGCGTGTCTGTTTAACAACATGCTGGAAATGGGCCACTTGTGTTTTTCAGGTGTCCAGAATGTGGGCCACTTCTGAACCTGCCCTTTAGTTTATTTCTTTGTTTGGTAGAATCAACCTGTGGCCCAGTTATGACCTTGGAAAGTGTTGATGTGTTGGCGGTTGATGTGGGCTGCAGTCCACTGGTGCAGTCCAGTTTGATCTATGGTTCTGCGTTGATCCAGCCTCAGGACTAACGTTCTCTCAGAGCCCGTGTGGACTGTTAGAACAGTGTGGGAAACACGTCTGGACCGCCTGGTGGAACTGACCCCAATCCATCAACGGTTTCTGTGTTAGAACCGATGTTGGAACCATTAATCTTTTTCTCCATTCTGGAAAACTTCATCTGCATACTTTAAAGACTGAACTTATATTGGTATGCAGCCCAGTTTTCACAAACCCACCCCATCTGCTGTAGGCAGGAACAGAAAAGTACCAGTGACTGTGGAGACCTGTGGACTTTATTGACCCTGACGGGGGTGTGTGTGGGAGGGGGGGGGCTGGGTCACCCACAGTTAACCTTATTGGCTCTAATTGTTCCCAGGTTTGATCCGTCAGCCCGGAGGTCCCTGTGGGCTGCAGCCAACACGACAGGCCTCCTCCACCTCCTGCCTCCCGGTGCCTTGTGGGTAGGATGGTGTCACCGCCGAGGCGCAAAGTCAATTGTGAGGTTACAGCGAAAAAACGGAGCAGCATTTGTTCTCATCAGCTACGAAAACACGTCGCGGTGAGTGAAGCTTCAACTCATTTGTCAAAGTCGGAGAAAATGTGGGAAAAATTTAACTCGTGGAAAAAAAACACGTGCCGGAAAATTAACAATAAATTAGATATAAAAAAAAAAAACACGAAAAAGAAACCAGGTGTATTTGGTAAACGGTGAAAGTTCAGTTCCTCTAATGTTGTATATTTTGTTTTTGTTTTTTTCAAATATTTTTCAGTATTTGGTGGGATGGTACTACAGTATTTTAGTACTTACATTAGCTCTGGTGTCTGACCGCTGTCGCTAACGTTAGCTCACAGTAACGTGTTTCACTTTGAGCTGGTACTGTGTACTTGAAGTACCTCAGGAAGTTAGAATAAAATACTGTGAATATTCCCTTCCCCAAAGTTCCTCGTCAGTCACTCGGAAATAGATTCACTGCTGCCACCTAGAGGCTAGACCGTATGTGTCAGTGTCACTGCTGTGCTTGAACAATTCTGATCTAATCTAATCCACCAACTGACCGACCCACCGACCCGTCCACCTACTGACAACAACATATCTGCCAACCTCATGTATATCCTACCTCCTAAACCTGTGGCCTAGTGGATACAGGACAAGGCTCTGACTGTGAGGTTGTTGGTTTGAATCCCTTGGGAGGATGTGTTTCATGGTGTCGTTTCTCTTCTAACCCTGAGATTCTGTTGACAGTCAGAGCTGTGGTCCAGGACAGTAGGAAGGACAGGCATACACACACACACACACACACACACACACACACCGAGAGAGAGAGAGAGAGAGGGTGAGAGAGTATAGGACCATGTGTTGTGATGTATAATGAATAAAGTTTTCAGCCTTTCATGATTATATTTCTGATTTTTGGCAGCTCTCTCTGACAGACTTTATAAATCCACACGCACTTTGATAAATCAGCATCAGCAGCATCAGCATCAGCAGCATCAGCAGCATCAGCATCAGTGTTTCCAACAGAGTCAGAACCAAACTGTGAACCGCAGCAGTAAAAATAACAGCTGGAATTCACCTTTTATTCTGTCACGACGTTCAATACAATTCGTGTGTGTGTGTGTGCGTGCGTTCTATTGGTCGTATTTTTTTTTTAAATTAAAGCCTGACTCACATTAACAGATCGTCCTCATTACCTCTGGAGGAGACTGCTTTCCTGGGTCAGGTAGCAGCAGGAAAATTAAAGTAAAAGTCTGATTCAGAGAGAGGTTAAAACAGCTGTGAATATTTGAACAATTATCTGATCAAATCTGTCCACGCCTGAAGTATCAGCTCAACAAACGGCCGCAGTCGAACTGTGTCTCTGTGGAATTAGAATCCAGTTCTGGGAGAAAAAAACAACAAAACAAAAAAACAACAGTTGAAGAGACAGTATATTAAAGCCCCCCCCCCCACTCTCTCTCTGCCGACTCAGCGTTTCCATGTCTTTAGCCCGAAGCCTTTTTCAGTACAAACGTGGAGCAGAAGCAGCAGAACAAACATCAGATTCGATCTCCGTTTGAGGACGAGGTCCAATTATTTCATTAGAACGAAGGTTAAACTTTAATATTGTTACTGTGATGTAGAATCTGGGTTTTTAAAATATCTTTGAATTAGTTTGGATCCAGGGCCATCTATATTTATTTATTTATTTTAGCTGATGAATTTTCATGACGTGAACGGAGTCAAGGCCTTCCTTTGTTTCCCTCCCTGCACCACAGGACCATTCAGCTGTCGCTGTTGGTGCGTCTGTTTCTTCGACCATGATTTCGTCGCGGTCGTCCTTCACGATCCGAGCGGTAAACAACAGGAGCAGAGCTGTAGCTCCGAGGCCGTCGGCTCGCTCTTTCAGAACCTAAAACTCCTCACAGCCTCTCACTTCTGTCTCCGAGCTGCAGCGTGTTTGTCGCGTGCCAGTGATCTGGGCGCCCCGATGCCAAAAGGTCACAGAGAACAGGAGGAAAAAAACGCTTGTAAAATGCAAATGCGGGGCCAGGAGTTGGGAAGGAGACCGCAGCCGACAGATAAGGTCCACGCTCGTCAGCCGTCCGCACGCTCGTCCAGAACTCGTGTCGGGAATTCAGATGGTGAATTTATGTGAGGTGTTTGTGTGAAACGTTAAAGAACTCTTCATTCAGCCCGCGGGCCGCACACCACGGTCAGTCACTGGATCCACTTGTTCCAGGTGATTTTCAGGAGGCAAAACTGATCCGTTAGCCTTGAGACTCACCTTAAAGAATCTCTTTCTACTGTGTGTGTGTGTGTGTGTGTGTGTGTGTGTGTGTGTGGACCTAAATACTTTTACTCTACAGATGATTTACTGCTCCCTTCATCAGTACTTTTTTTATTATTTAGTTAGTTTATTTGTTGTTATTTAGGTAAAGTAAAACTGACCACACGAGGCAGCAGTGGTCTCGTTCTTCACTGTTTTTATCTATGAATTTTAGCTTTCAATAATTCACACAGTAGTGAGAGCTGCAGCAGTCTTAGCCCCGCCCCAAACGATCTCATTGGTTGAGTCTTATGGAGCCAGTTTCATTAAGTGAACCTTTACTAAAGAAGCCATTTTAATTATTATTGTTATTGTTATTTTTAATGTGTTTTTTTTCCCCTGACACTGGACGTTTGTGTCCGTGGCCGGTCCTCGCCACAGAGGCTGAACGCGCTCGCACACTGTTCCTATTTCAGGAACTAAATGCCCTTTAAATAATGTATTTTTAATCTTAGCCAGAGAAATGTGTGGCTTTCAGGGTTGTGGAGAGATTATGTTGTTATTTGCTGCCCTCTTTTTCTTCCATCCATAAATCCCAGAATCAAATCCCCATCATTTCTGTATTGGCTGAGATCAGCCACCATGTCCCGCTGCCTGTTTTTCCAGCAGGTACAAGCAGAGAGAACAGGGGAAAAACAGCTGTAAATAATAGGATGAGCCTTTTTGGAACCATTTCCAGAGCAGCCACGGGGCTTTGTGTCCAAATATTCCCAGCGTTTCTGATTCAACCTTCAGTCTCTCGGTGTCGGCCAGGAGCGCTGACATTAAATAATGAAAAGTTCCAGCTTCCAAACTTTTGGTGAGATGGGAACAAAAGCACAGTGTTTAGAAGGCCTGGCTCTTGATGGGATGCTGGGAGCAGATAAAGCTGGGTGACAGCAGATAATCTGGCTGTGTGGAGGAGGATGGAGGAGGTTAATCTCATTCTCCACAGCAGTGTGTATCTGAAATGGCTTTGTTTGTTTCAGCTTGGTTTGGCCGACGGTATCGTGCAGAAACACTCCTCGGCTTCTCCGGGTGAAGAAGGTTCGATGGTTGAGACTTGATTAGAGCCTCGGCAGGATGTGTTAAGACAAAAGGACGGGGACGATCTGAGCTGAGACGACGGTCCCTGGTTCAGTTGTTCCAGGTCTGGTCTGATGAGAGGGGGTTCATTGTTGTTGTTGTTGTTGTTGTTGTTGTTGTTGTAGCCCTTTTGTGTGTTAGCTAATCACAGTATTTTTGATTTTCTCTGTGCTGCCCTACATCTGGACTGTCAGGCTTGAACCTTCCTTTGTTGTCCACTAGGGGATTAAGAAAATATAGATAGTTCCTTTCCTGATACCGTATCAATGGGAAGAGCTATTATTAAATCATTGAGAATATTAATTATAGTTGAAACTGCTAACGATGAGTAAAGGTCACAGGTATCGCTAAAGATTAGAGGAAAAATAAACAAACGTTGGTCTAAACCTGAAGGCATTAATGTTAATGATACGGATTTAAAAAATAAAGCTGGAAAGAGAAAAATCATATATTTATATACAGTATATATATATATGTATCTATATTTATATGACATCTAGCAGAAGAATTATGAGTGTAAATAAAGTAGACTTGCTGATGTGGCGCCTCCTGCTGCGTGTTCATGACACTGTTATTTTTCCTCATTTAAATCAAACAAAGTGACGGTTTCTCCTCTCAGTGGGAGAAGTGACTTTCAGATTTTTAGACAGACTGTTGTGTTGAACTCAGCCGCGGTTTTGTTCCTCTGCTCCATCTTTTAGTACTTGTTTTTTTTTGTCTTTTCTTTCTCCTCGTCCCATTAATTCCTGCGAGGCTTTGCTGGATTCTCCCCTAATGAGGACAATTAACCTGGAATCAGAGTGAATATTAAACGGTGGAATCATGGCTGCCATCAGCCCCGAGACGAGTCGGCTAATGGAGTTGATTGTTATTAATTTTGACATTAACGTTCCAATTAAAGATAGAAAAACACTGATTTCATTTTCCTCTCGTTTCCTTCCGTCCCATCCACGCGGTGAGATTAAGAGGGCATCGATCACACCTGAGTGACTCACAACCAGGTCGCTAATTAAAGACTCAGATCCCAATTAAGATAATGAGATCGTCGGAGGTTTCTGGGAGGAACACAAACAATATTTCAAACCTGTCAGTCACAGACACTGTGGGTTTAACCCTCTCTGCTGACTGGGCTTCATGATGTGGCCCACACATGTAGACATAATATAGTTAAGAAACTTAAGTTAAGACAGAAAGGAGTCCAGACGTCAATATACTGTTTTATATATTATATAATAAGGTGGTTGTTTTTTTCTGTATATCATCTGTATGTCCGTTCCTCAGATTCCATCTGCCATTGTTTCAGTACAGCCAGACCATGTGACCATGTGACCATGTGACTGACTGTGGACAACTGTGGCTGTCACACAATGTTCTCATGTGTGAGTGTGTGTGAGTGTGTGTGTGTGAGACTCCAGAGAGGACATGTTAATGTTGTTTTGATTCTCTGCAATCCCAGTCATTAAGACACACGGGAGTTTGTGACAGGCCACGACAGGGGGACTGACAGAGAAGAGACGTCTTCTCGTGTCCACACACTGACACTTGACTGACTTCACAGCGTGGGTCAGATCGCACCTCCCGCAGCTGCTGAGAATAACAGTGTGGGCCGCGGCGCTGCTCTCCAGACACTCACCAATCAGAGGCTTCCTTCCCTTCTCTTCCTACACCCTCGGCGTCTGCCCTGGATTCACTCTCCTTATGCATTCATTCTGCTATTATTTATTTTTCCCATTTTGCATTTTAAATAAGGAACGACACCCCTGACACCCCGTCAGTCCACCTCCACATTCTCACACGCCTCGGCCGCCCGTGGTTGCCGCCGCTGCGAGGTGAGAACCCGTCGTCTCCAAACAGCTCATTAAAAACAATGCGTCCGTGCATATGCGTAATTACATATTTGTGCCTTGGATTCGCTCCGTAGACGCGAAGGCTGACCTGATTCCTCCTTAATGACTCAAACCCGCGTCAGCGCCGCTCCCAAAGACATTTCCGCCTGGTGTCGTTGGGGCCGACTTGAAAGGGATGTGTCCTAATTAGGGAGGTATTCTGATGATACGGGGCATCGTGGGCTGCGTACGGGGGGGGGATGTGTTTGATTAGGGCAGGGGTCTGTTTATTATTGGATGAACCTGGATTCACCTTTGTTTAACATCATCAACGTCATTGACGTACGTTTCTCGAATATCATTTGTCTTTGGCAACATTTCTTTGTTGTTTTTATTTTTTTCTTATTTATTTATTTATATAACGTTTTGTTGACCTGTCATTGGCTACTAGTTGACTAACCACTAGTTGACTAACCACTAGTTGACTAACCACTAGTTGACTAACTACTAGTTGACTAAAACCTGATCAACTGACCAGTTCATTCAGACCTAGCTGTCGATCACAGATCACAGTCTGATCGTAGTTTCCTCCGTGTATTAAACCCTGTTGAAGCTCAGCTTCAGGTAGATGCTGATTGGACAGATTTGACAGAACTGGTCACTTCCACGTAGACGAAACTCCAGAGGGCGTTGATGAGCAGTATGTGTCGTCCCTCACTTCCTGTTTGATCTGCTAACCAACGTTCTCCCCAGCTAACCGTGTCCGACCCATGACCTTTGTACCTAACAGGTCAACTGGCTCCACCCACCCAGTAATGGACCAGTGTCTGTGGTCAGGGTCTCAGAGTGAGTGGGTGGATGATCAGTTTACAGCCAGACATCTGTTAGAGTTCAACAGAAGTCAAACTCAAATAAATGCAAAAACATACAAATGTGCAACAATTACTGTGAATTTCAGATATCGCCACGAGAAATGGTAGAAAAAAAAAAAAAACCCCGAGAGCCGCTCTTTCATCTCCCTGCCCATTATACCAAGAAATGAAAGACAAATCAATTATTTAAAACAGAGGTGGTTTTTTCCCTCCACTCCTTCCAGGTTTTGTTAATCGACCTTGTCTACACTCCGGCTCTCTCTTCTCTTCCATTTCTCTCCAAGTTACTTTTAGCCTCTCTTAGTGATGCGGGTGAATAAAATGTCACAGATTGGGTAATAAATTAGACCAAAGTGGTTCACACTGCTAACATGCTTTTTCATGACGGCAGCCCCCAGGCCAGAAACTAATAGATTTTTTCCTTCTAATAATAAATGT